CTGGACGCACCTCTGCGCCGCCTCCGCTGCTCCAACATGGCCGCCCGCTGAGCGCCGGAAGTGCGCTGCGCTTCCGCTTCCGGGACCTGGCCCGCCCTGGTGACCCTTGACCCCCGAGACCCCGTTTTCCCCAAAGTTGGGGGGCGAGACAGGTGGGTACCTGGGAGGGCTTCCTGGAGGAAGTGCCGCAGGGACCGTTCTAAACGCTTCCGGGCCTGTGCAGGAGTCAGAGCAGAGGCGCTCTCGGACGTGGCCCCAGGCAGGGCTGCGTTGGAGCCCGTCCAGGACTGGATCAAGGGCCAGACTGACATCCTCTTTGAGGGAGCTGATGTGGAGCTGGTGCAGCAACATTTGGAAGGGACTCTCGCAAAATCCAAGCCATTCTTCACCCTCTGGACCTCGGGCAGCCACTGCCAAGGCCTGCCTTTGTCCCAGGTGCCTGGATGGAGAGCAAAAGAGGAGTGCCCCAGGCCTGAGAGTGCTGCAGGGAAGCCTCTTTGTTTTGCAGCTCTGGTACTTCCTCTACGGGCAGCAGGCCCTCCTCTCTTCCTGAGAATGGAGCCCACACAAGTGTCATGAAAGGCTGGTGTGCACACATGTGCTACACACAAGCCCAAAGCTAGGCATGTCCAATCTGAGAGCCCCAGCATACCAGTGTGCACAAGAGGCTGCTGGATGCTTCATTTGGGGATTGGTTAATAGCCCTCCACCTGATTCCCCATCTGATTCCAGGTTCCTAAAGCTGCTGCACATTTCCCTGTCTATCCAGAGGTGTCTGGGCACCCTTAAAGAGAAACACTTACCTTAACCTCACCTGGTGCCCCTGAGCTTTCCAGGGCATCAGCACTAATGGTGGGGTCTTCAGTGCCTTGAAGTGTAGCCAAAGTGTCCAGCAGGAAATGCAAACTCTCCTGCTCAGTTGGGGTCAGTGCTTCTAGCCCTCTGTCCTGTTAAAGAGAAGGCAAGGGTGGGGTCCTAAGGGCCAGAGTCTCAGGGGGTGCAATCGGGAAGTCCTAACTCAGTGCTCCCAGTCCCCAACTGTGGGGGAGTCCTGTCTCTGCCCCATCAATGGTTGAGGATCAGCTATTCACTCTTAGGACCAATCCAGTTTCACTTTCTGCTCCAGTTGTCTTCCACAGCTTCTCTAAAGCCAGCAGTGTTGGCCCCTTGTGTGCAGGCTGGGCCCTGGCTTTATAAACAGAAACCACTTCCATAAAGAAGCAGAGCCCAGTTCCCGAAAGCGGCCAGAGGTGACCTCTGAAAATGGTTCGCTATTCACTTGACCCAGAAAACCCCACAAAATTATTCAAGTCAAGAGGTTCAAATCTTCGTGTTCACTTTAAGAACACTCGTGAAACTGCCCAGGCCATCAAGGGTATGCATATTTGAAAAGCTACCAAGTATCTGAAGGATGTCACTTTATAGAAGCAATGTGTGCCATTCCGTCGTTACAATGGTGGAGTTGGTAGGTGTGCCCAGATGAAACAGTGGGGCTGGACACAGGGTCGGTGGCCCAAAAAGAGTGCTGAATTTTTGCTGCACATGCTTAAAAACGCAGAGAGCAATGCTGAACTTAAGGGTTTAGATGTAGATTCTCTGGTCATTGAGCATATCCAGGTGAACAAAGCTCCCAAGATGCGACGTAGAACTTACAGAGCTCATGGGCGGATTAACCCATACATGAGTTCTCCCTGCCACATTGAGATGATCCTTACTGAAAAAGAGCAGATTGTTCCTAAACCAGAAGAGGAGGTTGCACAGAAGAAAAAGATATCCCAGAAGAAACTGAAGAAACAAAAGCTTATGGCCCAGGAGTAAATTCAGCATAAAATAAATACTAATAAAAGTAAAAAAAAAAAAAAAAAAAAAAAAAGCAGAGCCCAGCCTCCAGGTATAGCAGGGGCCTAGGTGTGTCCTAGAAAGGGGATCCCTCTCTTCTGATGTCCAGCCCAGAGGTAAGTATAAAATGGAGGTTGGGAGGTAGAGTAGGTCCATCCCCAGACTGTGTCCCTTCCAGAATATTAGAACCAAGGAAGATCAGAAGGGTTAGAGGTAAGGGTCATAAGGCACCTAAATTGTTGACGGGAGGCTGATCCTTCTGTCTCTTGGTCCTAAATATGTCCCAGATAGAACTCTGACTTGAACTGTACTTTGGTGGGTCCTTACCCTATAGGTGTAACTGGGATCAGATGGGATGAGTTTGGGAGAGACCACAGGGTCATCCCCAAATCCATCCCTTGCTCTCCATTTGGCATCTTTTATAGCCCTGAGTGATGGACCCTGGACCCATATCCACCTGAGCAGAGGGAGCTGGTGGAGATCTAGATGTGAGCAAGGCCAGTGGCCTGGGAGGGACTAACCCCGGAGGGGGTCTGTGCGCAAAGGAGAAAAGCAAGGGTCAGAGCTTGAGGAGCCGCCTCCTGAGGAAGGGGAGTAAGCAAGGCTGATAAAAGACAGAGGGAGGCAGGACAGTAGCGGGAGGAAGCCAAAGCCACAAGGGCTGATACTTTCAAGATGCCAGCAACATTTCAATTGAAACACAGACACCCCCCCCCCCTCAGTTTTAGCTATATGGTGTTCCATGGCGACGGGCAAGAGCAATTCTGGGGGAGCAGTGGCAGCAGACATAGGTGGCAGATATCAAGGTGGTGGAACCTGCTGAGAACAGATGGCTTCAGCAGATGGAGAGGAGGAAGAGGAGACTGGAGGGACTTAGGGTGCTGGGAAGTATAGAAAGGTAGGAGGCTTTTAAATGCTTAATTGCTGGAAAGGAGAGGGGAAGGGGCCTAGAAGGAAATGTAGTAAATGTGAGGGGGTCCATAGGGCAGTATGAACAGCTGAAGAGGAAGGTAAGAGTTCCCTAAGTAATGAACAAGTTGGGGGCAAAGCAGAGTAGGGGGACAGAAGCCTTCTAGCCAGGATTTGTAAATGACCTCGGCACCACCATTTCCATGCAGGTTCTCCAGCGCCAACTGCCAGCCCCTGAAAGTGGCTGAAGACTCTGGTCATGGACAAGGCTCTGCCCAGGCTCTGGGGGGTAATGTGAGGCCCATGTTCTACACTGGCTCCCACAGTCCCCAGCAGGATTTGGTCCCAGTTGCCCACAGTGGTAACTTGCTTGATGACACACTTTTTATTGGCTGCTCCCCTTCTCCTTGCCACTCCTCAGTTGGTGCTTCCTGGCCTCACCTCCTTTGTTAACTGTATGCACTTGCATCTTTGTCTCCAGATGTGCTTCTAGGGAAAGTGAGACAGACACTGTCCGTGAAAGAGGGACAGGATAGTAGCAAGTGCACACAACCACAGGACCTCTCCTCCTCCTCCTCCTTCTAAATTTTTATTTATTGATTGGAGAGAGAGAGGGAGAGAGATTGAGAAAGATCGATTTGCTGTTCCACTCATTTGTGCATCATTGGTTGATTCTTGTGTGTGCCCTGATTGGGATTGACCCCGCCACCTTGGCATATCAGAACAACGCTCTAACCAACTGAGCTATCCAGCCAGGGCAGGGCCTCTTCTTATAGGTGACTCTTGGCCTGTATGAATGGGCTGCCAGCTCCCAGACTTAGCCAATACTCTCGAGCACTCAGAAGATGGGCCAGGGTCTGGGTCTGAGGTGGGTAGTCCTTTGTCATACCAACTTGCCCTTGCTTGACCCCAGAGTTGGCTAGAGGCAGTGCCAGGACCCTGAAAATGGACAGTCGCAAAATGACTTGAGTCCCAGAATAGCTAGGCCTCAGGCCCTGTAGAATGAGGCCAGAGTAACCTGCCTGGAAGGTCCTTTGGCCTCTTAATCTTCAAGCTCATCCCCTGCTCAGAGATGCCTCCCCCAAGCCCTGGATTCCCCCCCACTCAGGTCTGTGGAAAGGCTTGTCAGTATTGAGGACAGCACTGTCTGCTGCTCCGACCCCTGCTAGTCTCAATCGATACCATGGGACCTATTCCGCGCCTTTCTCTGTGCCTGGGGAAAGACGACTCAGACGCCGCACCCACCAGAGAGGCCCAGGCCACACCCTAAGGGGCCTCCAGGGGGCGCCGCTTGGAAGGCTGCGGTTGGGCTCCTCCAAGTTCAGTGGCAGTGGGCGGGCGTCAGCCCCTCAAACCGCGGGGTTCTGCAGGCCCCACGCCCTCACCCTCCGTAGATGCTCCCAGGCTGGGTCCCGCTCAGAACGGCCCCCTCACCACACACGTGTGTGCTATTCACTGCTGTCTCATTTCTCCCCCCGCCCCACGTCGGACCCCAAATTCTGGGAAGGCCCGGTGCCCACATGTCCATCTGTTCACTCGCTAGCGTGTGACCATGGGTCGGCGCGCCGAGCTCCAGCCGCGGCAGGTGCAGGGTTAAGGCGGAGAGGGGGGGACGGGGGGAGTT